CATTTCTCAAACCAACTACTTAACTTTCTCAGAATTTTCTGGCCTTCTTATGCAGCCCTCCCCACTTGTCCTTGGAGCCTGTTAGGGCTGATGCTTCGCGTAGCCTTGCCTTCCACATCCGGTTTATCCCTGCCCAGTTCTGTGCAATGCAGCCCCGCCCAACATCCCCTTCGCATGCCACAGCCCAGTAAAGCTAGCACTTCTCAGAGCTCCGCGGCGCCTTCTCGAGTGGCTCCCTATCTGCCCAGAAAACGACCATAATAGATGTGCACAAAACATGGGTCACGGTGAGCCCCCCACCTCGCCCCACACAGGCTTCTCTCCTGTCGCCACATTTATAGATGCTGTGCTTCTGCCCCCAACTAATGCAGGGGAAGAAATCAGTCCAGAACAGGAAGACTAAATTCTCTAGGTAACAGAACGTTGAATCTGTAACAGACACGCAGAGGATTGGAAGTGACTTAAGGTGCCACGGATAAAGATACTTCTCAGGGGCAGTGGCCGCTAAGTTGAGCTGAATAGACATATTTGTTACATATTCTAACATGGTAAATGTAATATGTTTATGACCCTCAAGGAGTTTGTTCTTTTAAATAGCTCATAAAGTATCTTTCTTGGGGATAAGTATTGTTAGGAAGGATTTCAGCGTTTACCAAGCGCAGTGTACCATGTGTTTTGCTAAGGACCTGATGCTTGTGATCATATTTAATTCTCATCAGCCCCAGGGGACGTTGTCAGCCTCATCTTACCGAGGAACATAGATCGTATTTAATTAGCCCAGTTCTGCCCAGAGCAGCACAGCTGAGCAGTGAACTCCCGAGGAGACGCAGCTGGGGTCCACGGTCCAGACCCGCAACCCAGCGGCTCTTACCCTGCCTGCACACTAGAACCAGCAGGGAGATTTTAAGACATGCCATCGGTGGGGGGAGTCCCCAGGCCTGGAGTGTCACCCGACCTTCTGCAGTTTTAGTTTCCCAGGCAATGCTATCAGGTAGCCAGAGCTGAGAAGCGCTTTGTCTCCCAGACACACCCAGTTTCTTTTTTCTTTTTTTTTTTTTCTCTCTCCATAATTTTATGGAACAAATAGAAATGAGACAGTTTCAAATCAAATTGGTAGGACAGTTCCAATAATTAACACATTGCATACATTCTTCCTAGTGGTTATTTGCTGTACAAGATGCAGACATGATATCCTATTTACAAACACTATTAGAACAAATCCCTCTATTCATTAAGAGAATGTAACTTAGAAGGAGCCAACTCACCATCCCCTTGCCCACGTTCACAAGCCGCAGAGTCATAGGGCGCAGTGTGATACTGCAAAATGCAAATGTTGCATTGAGCCAGCCCCTTGTCACCTGGCAAACTTGCTTGGAAAATTATGCATTAGCCTTTTTTTTTAGTTCCAAAAATAAACACTAGATGGCGAACAACACATAGGGAATCACCGTATGTTAAGCATTTTCATTTTCAGAGTATTTTATTTTTCTTCAAATAACCGCAT